AAAAAATCAATAAAATATATTTAAAAAAAAAAAAAAGATATTCAAGTTGACTTTTTTTTTTTTTTTTTTTTTTTTTTTTTAGTCTGAAAAAGCTCAGCAGGGATCTCAGATAAAGCAGGAACTTTCTGGGTTGGAAAGAAATGAAAAAAGCATTTAAAAATAGAAAGAATAAATGTGTGGTTCATTTTTATTTTAAAATCTCCACTGAAAAGCAGTTTGGGTTTTTTGCTTATTTTTTTTTAAGTTGGTGGGCTTGTTTACTGGTGCTACATAGAACAGCTTTACCAGTTGAGGATCCTGTCACCTGGACAAGGCATTACTGAATGCAGTGAAGCCTGACTTTAGATGCTGATTTGGCACCCATTCGCCATCCTCTCAAACCCTCAGCTTTTTCTTCCTCTGAAATTTCGATCTGCAGGTGTCTGAATGGAAAGTACTTACGGGTCACAGTAACAGTGTCAACAATTTCACCAGACTACTGTAATTTAAAGCCTTAAAAAAAAATCACATTTCACTTAAAATCACTCTGGCCCCACCAATCTGCATGAATGATGTTGAGATGAATTCAGAGGTTGAGGATTTCATAAAGATTACTGTAAGATATTCCTAACAACCTAAAACTGATTTGCCAAAACAGCAGCTTTTTCTAAAAAGCTTTGTGCTGAGCCTGAAATGAAGCTTTTACTCTTAGCAATTATGTTTCAAGAAGCACTTTAACAGCTTTCTCCTTCTTCATAGAAATCATCCTGGGCAATCAGGTGAAAGAATAGCTTTTGTAAATTCAAAACAGTGCCTAGGTCAGTGGTTTTCAGCACTGGCTGCACATTAAAATAATCTGGGCAGCCTTTTTAAAATAGCTATTCCCAGCCCTTTCTGATTAATTGGTCCAGGATGGGGACCTGGCATACTATGTCTTAAAAGCTCCCCAGATTCTAATGCACAGACAAGATTAAGAATCATCTGCTGACAAGAATGGCTTGGCCTAACTTCCATTAATACATTTCTTTTTAGGATTTTAATATGAATCAAAGGCTATAAGTTACACTCTCTTCAGCCGAAGGGCTGATAATTTAAAAAAAAAAAAAAAAAAAAAAAAAAAAAAAAACCTGATAATTTGTTTACAAATTATTCATGTAAAAATAAAATGCTTCCCTTCCAGGATCCTTTCCACTGAAGCCATATTCAGTTCCTTGCTGTCAGGATAGATTCTCCTAAGTCACATTTAAGCTCTATAAACTAGGTAATTGTTCCAAAAATACAATATTTCAGCATTCAAACTGATCTCCCAGACTGCCACCTACACCTTGGACCATACACAAATTTTTGTAATATCACACTTCTACTTCTTGGTTTTGCAAAATAGCATCACCAGATCTACCTGTAGTGTCAACACTTTTTTTTTTTTTTCTTTCTAATCTTCAAAGGCCACAAGTCCCTTTTCTCCATAAAGCCTTCCATGGTCACCTTAAGCCTCACTGATTTCTTCCTAGTAAAAATTTATAGCCTCTACCACTTCTTGGCTTTTGTTGTACTTCCACTTAAACTTTTACCCACTTTGGGGCCTGTTTGCCTAACCAACCTTAGGGACAAGAACCATTTAAAAAAAAAAAATTGTATCAGTTTCCAGAACAAAGGCTCACAATATAAATGTTTGGATTCTCACTATCAAGTCATAACTTTCTGACCTTCTTGACCTCTCCAATTTTTTTTCTTAAATATATTTTTATTGATTTCAGAGAGGGAGGAAAGAGATAGAAACATCAATGATGAGAGTGACAGATTAGCTGCTTCCTGGACTCCCTACTGGGGATCTAGTCGCAACCCAGGCCTGTGCCGTGACTGGGAATGAACCCTGGACGGTCTTGGGGCTGATGCTCTACCCACTGAGCCAAACCAGCTAGGGCTCTCGCCTCAACTCTACAACGCCCTTTAATGAGACTAGGGCATCGTCCTACCAAGCATTCTTAGGAACTATTACTGACTTTTGAGGTTCTACAACCTGTGCCAAACAAAACCAATTAGACTCCTGTCCTTGGTGACTGGGTTTTTTTTTGTTTTGTTTTGTTTTGTTTTGTTTTGTTTTGTTTTGTTTTTGGCTGATCTGCCTGCTTATCGCCTTTATAATGTTCCTCATTTCTGCCCTCGAAATCTCAGTTACCTTTCTATCTATTCTTTCAATTTCCATAAACAATGCATCTTTCCAACCAGCATCCCACTTCTAACCTGCCCCATTCCCTCCTCAAAGGCCCGTTTCTAAGCCCTCGGTCTCTCCTCTAAGATGGCCACCGCACAACCAGGGACGAAGCGCGTTCCTCCCACGCAAGGCCGCCATCCTCCCGGGGCCCCCTGGGCGGACCCAAAGGGAGGGGGGTGGTCCGAGGCCTGGGAAAGGGGCCAGAGGAGGGCGCGCCGAGGAGAACCACGGCCGCACCCCCAGCCCAAGCCAGTGCTGGGACTACGTCACCGTCACCGGAAGTGAGCCCCGCCCTAACGTCAGGCACCGGAAGGGAGCGTTGCTAGGGCGCGGGGTGGACACGACTGGTGGACACGACTGTGCGGAGAGGGTGACTGGACTCAGGTAAGGAGGACGTCGCGGCCCCGGCGTTGGGCCCTCAAACGACTCACTTTGGGTGCCGGGTCGCCTTCGCCATCTGTTCTCTCCCCTTTAAGGCCCCGGCCTCCGCCCGGCGGTTCCTGTTGGGCCGAAGGCGGTTCCCCGCCTCGTCCCCTTGAGGGCCGGGCCGAGGGCCGCCCGAGCTCCTCTGCCCACACACAAGTGAACCACCGTCCCCTGTTCTCCTGTTCCGCCCCGTGGCTTACATCCACTCGGGATGTTCTGTTTAAAGGAAGGTGACCGGACGGCCCGCTTTGTAACCATTTGGCCCGCGGCCGGCCGGCGCTTAAAGGAAGAAAAACCGTTCCTGAGCCCCAGCTCTGTGGAACCGGTTACCTCAGACCACGGAACCCCCCAAACTGGAACTCCTTTGGGTCCCTTGCCCTCCGCCTGGCGGTTCTTCCCCGCCTCGCCCCCTCGAGGGCCGCCCGAGCTCCTTTGTCTACAAACAAGTTAACAAGTTAAGCACCTCCCCCTCTTCTCCTGGTCCGGCCCGTTGCTTAGATCTACTCGGAATGTTCTGTGTAAAGAAAGAAACGCTGTGTTCCTGAGCCCCTTGGCCGGTTACCTCGGACCACCTTCCCCCCCCCCTCCCCAAACTAGAAACTCCTTTGTGTCATTTGCCCCTTTCAGCGCGGGGGGGAAAAGACACAAAGGCCCGCTCCCAGTTTGATGTGAAGGATACTTAGGTGGTCAAGGCTGATGATGAGGCTGTGGATTCCAGTGGCCTTTCCCTACTGGGATTAGCCTTTTTTGCCCCCACAAGGCAGGATGGCATCCTACCAAGTGATTGAATCGAGTGCTGATCATCCCTTTAAATGCCTGAAAAGCAAGGAATATAATACTTGGTTCTTCCTTCCAAACTTCCTTTATTTTTATTTTAAAAGTCTAGAGTGACCATGTACAAGTAAAACATGCCGAAAGAAAGGTCAGGATTTCCTAAATCAGACATAACAAACACTTTTACGCCATTTTTCACTAATGGTTATAATTAACACCTGGGCTCTGCAGCAAATTACTAAACTAGGGTTCCAGCTGGTCGCTGGTATTTCTTTTCATGGGTTCCAAGGCTGCTTATGTCATAGAATGGGGGGAAGGAGTATGGAATTATAGGAGAGCTTGCTCCAGAGGGAATAACTGTAAATCTGGCCAATTTTCAGATGTTTCTTATGGGATGGTTTTGAATAAATTTAGGATTTTTTTTTTCCCTAAATGTAATCTTATTTAATTCCCCATAATGATAAGCTTATTTAATCACAATGCGCAGTAGGAGGGATCTCTAGTAGAAGAGAATTCAAACTACAAAACCAATTCTTGTCTTTTAATCTCCCACACTTCGGTTACAGACCTGTTCTTTATGGTTCTGTTACCCATAAAATGGAAAGTTCTTAAGTCCTAACATTCAGAAATTTTACCTCAAAGCATGGAGGGAATGACTGTTAACTGGAGAGATTAAATAACCAAGTCTATTTTTAAAAATTTTAAATAAATAACCAGCTCTTATTTGTTTTCGCATAGGACAGTGGTCGGCAAACTCATTAGTCAACAGAGCCAAATATCAACAGTACGACGATTGAAATTTCTTTTGAGAGCCAGATTTTTTTAACTTAAACTTCTTCTAACACCACTTCTTCAAAATAGACTTGCCCAGGCCGTCGTATTTTGTAGAAAAGCCACACTCAAGGGGCCAAAGAGCCGCATGTGGCTCTCGAGCAGTGGTTTGCCGACCACTGGCATAGGAGATTGGGAGACAGAGGGGAGGTAAAGCATCAGTGGAAAACGTGTGGCACTTCCTGATCATGTTTAAGAAAAGTCATGAAAATAGTAAGCGAGAATGTCTCTGGGTATATTGGATGGATTGAGTGTACAGACTGTCTAACAGGCTTCCAGCATTCCCAACTGTCAGGGAGGAGGGAGCAAGACTGGCAGCCTTCCCATCCCGTGTTTTTTTTAAAAACAATGGTATTCTTGTGGTCTTGATTTGCCCCCTTTCATGTTAAGCAGCATCAAACCCTAACAGATGATAAACAGTGATTGGCTACTGTAATGGCACTTCAAGTAGATTGACATCACCTCAATGCATTTTAAATTAGTAGTCAGATGTGATTTTTCTTAACTATTTTGGAGCCCTATAATTTATTCCAAGAGTGTGAATTAAACAATGATATTGAAATGCTTTAAAGTAACAAAGAATGCTAAAAAGGGGGAGGAAATATGTAAGGGAGGAGGGCACTAAAGGTTTTTCATATTGAACTTGGGTAGCTTCAATCCCAGTTTGACTCTACTTCTTGGGGCCACCTTTATGTACATATCATTTCTGATTCACTGAACCACTGCTTTTTTCCCTCCCTCCCCAGCACTTGGATTTGGCTTCTTCATTTCCAACATGGAAGAAAATTACAGTATGTACTTCTTGCTTTTAGAAAATAAGTTATCTTGCATACAATTTTATGTTTGACAAGACTTCTAATGTGTGGCAAAGATTCATATTTCTCCTAAACTGCTGAAGAGAAATGGTTTATATGATAGTAATATAGAGAAGTGCCCAAATTTGAAATAAAATATTTAAAATTTAAATAAAGAGGTATGAGACATCATCAAGCTTTGAAAGGGCTGCAGTTGGGACACCTGTGTTTCCTTTCTATTTTGAGGAGTAATATGGTATACATAATATTGTTGATGTAGATTGAGTTTTTAGGATTAAAGAAATCCTAAGGAATATTCTTATTTCCCAAGCAATCTAGGATTCTTAGATAGCCAAGGAAATCAAAAGGGAGCCAGCACTAGAATCACACAAGTGTAGAACCAAAAGAGACCTGAAAATGACTTTAACACTCAAATTTTGCACTGAGAAAACAAAATCTAGAATAATTTATTTGCCCAAACATATACATCAATATTGCACTCTTAGGTATCTGCCAAATACAAATACTCATACAGTGCGCAAAGAAGTATATAATAGATTGTTAGTCACAGCATCTATACTAATAAAAGGGTAATATGCTAATTAGATTGAACATCTTCTGGATGTCCTTCCAGACAAAACCATGGTGGTGGGGGCCAAGGCAGAAGCAGTTGGTAATCAGGCCAGCAGGAAGAAGCAGTTAAGGGGTGACCAGGCTGGCAGAGGAGCAGTTAGGGGTGGCAGGCTGGCAGGCAGAGGTGGGGTGGTTAGGGGCAATCAAGCAGGCAGGCAGGTGAGCAGTTAGGAGCCAACAGTCCCAGATTGCGAGAGGAATGTCCAATTGCTGCTGCGGGATTGGGCCTAAACTGGCAGTCAGACATCCCCCGGGGGGTCCTGGATTGGAAAAGGTGCAGGCCTGGCTGAGGGACCCTACCCCATGCACGCGTTTTGTACACTGGGCCTCTAGTTGTATATAATAGTAAAAACTGTAAACAACCTATATGTCCATCAGTAAGGGAAATGATTAAGAATCTATGAGCCCTGGCCAGTTTTGCTCAGTGGTTAGAGTTAAGGGTTATAGATTCGATTCCCAGTCAAAGACATGTACCTCAATTTCAGGTTTACTCCCAGACCCTCCCCTAGCCAGAGTGTGTTCAGGAGGCCACCGGTCAGTGTTTCTCTCTCCAGTCCTACCTCCCTTTCACTCTTTTTAAAAATCAATGGAGAAAAACAGGCTTGAGAATCCAAGATGGCGGTATAGGTAACACCTAACTGCAGCCTCACACAACAATTTCAATAAAATACAACTAAAATACAAAATGGACATTACCCAGGAAAGTACAGGAAAGTCGACTAACTGGAAATTCTACAACAAGAAGGAAAGAGAAAACCAGAAGGAAAATCAGAGGAGCTGCGAAAGCCTAAGGTACGGAGGCACAGAGAGGACGGAGCCAGAGAGGAGGGGGAGGCTGAGTGCCTGGCTGGCATTCCCTAGCAGAAGGAGATAAAAGCTGAACCCCAGATTTCACAGCACTGAACCCCAGTTCTAGGCCAGACCCTGGGGACCCAGGCTCATACAGAGGGAGCCTGGGCTGTGAGGCGGAAACCCAGGGAAGCAGTGAGGGGAAGTCCTGGAAGCGCTCACATTGTGCACAGAGAACGGGCGGTTGACTGCCACTGCATTGCCCTAGCAGGAAGGAGACAAAAGCTCCAGACTGCTCTGAACCCCACTTCCAACTGAACTGGACCCCAGTTCCAGTTTCATTGGGGGAGAGCCTAGACTGTTTGGTAGCATGAGAAACTCGAGGGCACATTTCTCTCAGAGGTGCTTGCAGCGAGTACTGAAGGACCCTGAGGAATACTGAGACTCAGGAACCTCATAGGGTGTGGCTGATGGAAGCCAAGGCTGTAGGCTCCACCCTGAAACTCCGCCCCATCCAAGCTGAACACAGATACTTTTAAAGCTACCAACTCAGGGAAGCTGGGAAAATGCCAAGACAAGAAGTAGATCACAAACGAAAGAAATGGAGAACAAAAAATGACTGGATATAGAGTTCAAAATCATGCTTATAAGGTTTTTCAAGAATTTCCTAGAAAAGGCCGATAAGACCTATAAGGATATGAAAAAGGATCAACAAGAAATAATAAGGGATCAACAAGAAATAAAGAATACATTATCTGAAATAAAAAATATTATACAGAGTCCTAAAAACAGAATGGAAGATCCCAAGAATCAAGTCAAAGAGTTGGAACATAAAGAGCCAGAAGACACTCCTCCGCAGAAGCAAGAAGACAAGAGAATCCAGAAAGTTGAAGATAATGTAAGAAACCTCTGGGACAACTTCAAGCGAACCAACATCAGAACTTTGGGGGTCCCAGAAGAAGAGAGAGAGCAAGATACCGAAAACATACTGAAAGAAATAGTGACAGCAAACTTCCCCCACCTGGTGAAAGAATTAGACCTACAAGTCCAGGAAGAGCACAGAATCCCAAACAAAAGGAATACAAAGACCACACCAAGACACATCATAATTAAAATTCTAAGAGCAAAAGACAAAGAAAATATTAAAAGCAGCAAGAGAAAAGCAGGTAGTTACTTTAAAGGAGCACCCATACGATTGTCAGCTAATTTCTCAACAGAAACCGTGCAGGCCAGACGGGAATGGCAAGAAATATTCAAGGTGATGAATAGCAAGAACCTACAGCCAAAAATAATCTACCCAGAAAAGCTATCACTCAGAATCGAAGGCCAGATAAAGAGCTTCACTAATAAAAGCTAAAGGAGTCCATCACCGCCAAACCAGAATTATATGAATTGCTGAAGGGGGTTCTTTCAGAAGAGAAAGAAAAAATAAAAATTATGAACAACAAATACATAACTATCAACAAGTGAATCTAAAAACCAAGGGAATTAAAAAACCTGATGAACAATATTAACTGTTGAATATAATAGAATCAGAGGTATGGAAGAGGAATGGACTGATGATTCTTAGGGAAAAGAGGAGTGGGGGGTGCGGGAAGAGACTGAACATAAACTGTGCACCTATGGATGAGGACAGTGGGGGGTGGGGAAAGGGCAGAGGGTGGAGGAGGAAAAAAATGAACTTTTGTAATAATATGAACAATAAAGGTTTATTAAAAAATAAAAAATAAATAAAAATCAATGGAAAAAATACCTTTGAGTAAGGATTTAAAAAAAAAAAAATAGGACATTTCTTTGCAGTAATAAAATATTCCTTATATGGACTCACAAAGAAGGAGCACAAAGATATGTTAAGGAAAAAAAAACAAAAAACAGCCCTACCCTGGTGGCTCAGTTGATTAGAGTGTTGTTCCATACACCAAATGAAAGAAATGGAGGAAAGCAAGCTACAGGATGACATAGAGTTCAAAACCACATTTATAAGATTACTCAAGAATCTTCTAAAAACTGCTGAGAAACTTGATGAGACCTTCAAGGACCTTAATGAAAATGCCACACAAAAAATGGAAAAGGACCAGTCAGAAATTAAGCATACACTGTCTGAAATAAAGAATATACAGAAATTCAACTGTAGGTCAATGTACCCCAAGAATCAAACCAAAGATCTGAAATATGAAGAAGAAGAAGAGAAAAAAAAAAAAAACAACACCCAACCAGAAAAACAAATAGAAAAAAGGAACCAAAAATATGAAGATAGTGTAAGGAGCCTCTGGGACAGCTTTAAGTGTACCAATATCTGAATTTTGGGGGTGCCAGAAGAAGAGAGAGAGCAAAATATTGAAAACCTATTAGAAGAAATAATGACAGAAAACTTTCCCTACCTAGTGAGAGAAATAGACTTACAAGTTCAGGAAGTGCACAGTACCCCAAACAAGAGGAATCCAAAGAGGACCACACCAAGATACATCATAATTAAAATGCCACGGACAAAAGACAAAGAGAGAATCTTGAAAGCAACAAGAAAAAAACTGTTAGTTACCTACGAGGGAGTACCTATATGACTATCAGCTGGTTTCTCAACAGAAATTATGCAGGCCAGAAGGGAGTGGCAAGAAATATTAATAGTGATGAACAGCAAGATTACCCAGCAAAGCTATCAATCAGAATTGAAGGTCAGATAAAGAGCTTCACAGACAAGAAAAAGCTAAAGGAGTTCACCACCACCAAACCAGGATTTCATGAAATGCTGAAGAGTATTCTTTTTTTTTTCTTTTTTCTTTTTTAATATTTTATTGATTTTTTACAGAGAGGAAGGGAGAGAGAGAGAGAGCTAGAAACATCGATGAGAGAGAAACATCGACCAGCTGCCTCTTGCACACCCCCTACCGGGGATGTGCCCACAACCAATGTACATGCCCTTGACTGGAATCGAACCTGGCACCTTTCGGTCCGCAGACCGACGCTCTACCACTGAGCCAAACTGGTTTTGGCTGAAGAGTATTCTTTAAGAAGAAAAGAAGAAAAAGGTAAAGATAAAAATTATGAACAACAAAAAGACATCAAATACATACCTACCAACAAGTGAATCTAAAAATCAAGTGAATAAAAAGTCTGAAAAACAGAATGGCTTGGTGAATATAATGGAAACGGACATAGAAAGGGAGTGGACTGACAGTTCTCAAGGGAAAGGGGGACTGAGGGGTGTGGGAAGAGATTGGACAAAAAGCCTTACACCTATGGATGAAGACAGTGGCAGGGGGTAAGGACATGAGGTGGGGTGTGGTATCAGGTGGAGGGGAGCTATGGGGGGGGGGGAGAGGAACACCTGTAATCTGAACAATAAAGATTTTAAAAATTCTGGAGATTAGTTACACAACAATGTGAATATACTTAACTCGGTTGAACTTAAAAATGGTTAATATGGTAAATTTTATGTTGCATATATTTTATAGCCATTTAAATTTTTTTAATTAAAAAGAAAATAAAAATTTTAAATCTAAAAAAAAGCAGGTTAGAGCTAACCTAAATTACTAGAGACCAAAAAGTAAAGCATTATGGTAGAAAACTATCATTTTCAAGTCTGACGTATGCCACTGTGTGGGCAGTAAAGTGTATATGAATCATAAGGTATATCCAGTCTGTCTCCTGCTGACATGGCTTAACATTTGCTAGTGATGGAATGGACTAAATGAAAGGATTTAATACGAATTTCATTTGTGAACTCACCCTGGGTGTCCTGAAGCTTCAGTGAAAAGATTGCTGGTCAGTGGTCATGGATAACAGGGGGGTAGGGCATACGTGGGAAGGGGTTTGAGATGGGAATGGGGGGATGAGGACAATTATGTAATACCATAATCAATAAAGAAATTTTTAAAATTCCAGGAGAATGGAAAAGATGGAAGAAAAAAAAAAAGATTGCTGGTCAGGATATGCCTGTTTGGCATAATAAGCCTGCCTGTCCTCTAAGATTTTTTTCTTCCTATTCATTCTGTCCTTCACGTCACCTTTCTGGCTCATTTACATCATGGTCATGGTTAGCAATTTATTCCATGTTTACCACTCTTCCAGTGAAACTGTCTGTTTCAATTTCCCACTAGCTTCTGATTTTCATAGCAGTCTCCTGGTTTATACACCTTTTATCAAATGTGAATTGTTTATCTTATTTCATTTTTATCATTGCCTTCAATGGAGACAAAACATTTTATTAGGTTGCTTCTCATCCTCTTAATATACTGAGAATGTGCTTAACCATTTAATTTCCTGTCCTTAATCAGCCTATTAAAATTTGGGGCTCAGCTTGGGCATCTTGTAAACGCTAAGGGTAGTTACATGTTCAGAGAAACTTCTCTGAGAGACATGTTCAGAGAAATTTCCACAATTCCAAACTATGGAAATAACCCCTGAAAGTATAGCCTTCTAAGAGTAGTTTTAAATAGCATGATATAAGTTAGGGGCTTTCCTTCACATAGCAGCTTCATATGTCTGCAGGTGTCTTAACCTCAGGAAGCTCTGTGTTTGCAGATTATTCTGTTTTTAATATGGTAAATTTGATAATCACTAAATTAAAAAATTCTGGTTTTTTCTCATGCATTAAAATATTAAAGGTAAAATTACTTATCTAATAAAGGTATTGGTTTCATCTAAGAGGTAACTTGAGTAACCAAGATCAGGAACTACTTATAGTAGTAGTGAATTAAAGTAGGCAGGTGAAAAAGAACTCATCTATTAACGAGTATTTCTCAGTCTTCCATAAAACATATCACTGATATAGAACAGTGCTTTTTTAGCAAATAGACAAGGATGCTTTTGAGCAGGAGTAATTATCCTCAACTTGCCGTAGGACAGTTGGGTATGGGAACACATGTGTGTGGACTCCTACATTGAAATATTGGCACATTATTCATACTGGTTGGGAAGCTCTGGGTGGCTAGCTAGAATATAAATGACCCTGAATTAGCACTTTTAGAAAAGAAAAAGAAAATGTTATGTCATATAATTTTTTGTTTAATAGTAAGGGTGACCAACAATGAAAACATCAGCATTTTTTTCTTTTTTACATTTGTATTGATTTCAAAGAGGAAGGGAGAAAGAGAGATTGAAACATCGATGGGAGAATCATTGGTCAGCTGCCTCCTGCATGACCCACACTGGGGATTGAGCCCACAATCTGGGCATGTGCCCTGACCAGAAATCCAGTGATGACCTCCTGGTTCATAGATTGATGTTCAACCACTGAGCCATGCCAGCTGGGTGAAAACAGCAATATTTAAGTACAACCAACTATGAACTAAAACCTGATCCTTTAATCACTGGTTTTGCTGAGCTTAACACAATTTTATCTTATCAGAGTTAAATGTTCATTTTCAAATGTTTAATTACCCTTTTATTTAAATTTCAAGTTGTTTTCAGAATGTCTGATTCTCTTGTTGCAGTTTCTGTTAGAAAATACATTGAGCGTTTAAAAAACATGAAAATACATTGCACCTACTCTAGCCAGTTCGGCCTATGGATCCCACTTTTGATTCTGGACAAGGGCACTTGCATTTGTTTCGGCTCCATCCCCAGTAGAGGGCGTGCAGGAAGCAGCCAATCAATGATTCTCATCATTGATGTTTCTATCTCCCTTTCCCTTCCTCTCTGAAATCAATAAAAAATATTTTTAAACAAATAAAATGCTTTAAAAGAAAGAAAATACATTGGTAATCCTGTAGTTATCCAAAAACATATTAAGCTTTATACTTATCCTATTTTTCTCTCTCTCTCAGTCGATTCCCTGGACCCTGAAAAGCTATTACCATGTCCCTATGATAGAAACCACCAGATCAGAGCCTGCAGGTTTCCTTATCATCTTATCAAGTGCAAAAAGGTAGGATATTTTCATAATTTGCCCTATGATGTCCTCAGTTCTTTTTTTAAAAAAACAAATTCTGTAAATATCAGATAATTTTAACATAAGTGTTAAATTGCCAGAATTATTTTGGGAATCTACCTTTGTATTAAATACCAACATTTATAGAAAGGAATTTATTTACTCCTTGGGTACATAAGTTTTTTCCTATTTTGTTTTTTTCCCCCAACTAGTGATAAGCACCCATAGTGATAAATGGCTTCTCTGGAATCTTTCTCCCTTTGTAAAAAGAGGAAACACTAATTTTTGCTAGCAATGAGAAAATCTCTTCTGTCTTGTGAATTTGATGCATTCATTGTCCTGATAAGGATTGAGTCAATAATACATTGATTTCTGATATTTTTGGTTATAAATTTTAGAGAAGTTGAATAGTTAGAGGTTAGACCAAGAAAAATTTATTCCTAAAATATAACTCTTTTTCCAAATTTCAACAGCATCTTTGAGGGGGAAGGAAACCAGCTTATTAGAGTTTCTTCTCTGGTCATTCTTTTGTATACTTATCTGATGTAAATGACTTTGATGCTGGTATATTAACTGAGGCACTTTGAAAAGATGGTTAGAGTGCTAATATCAGATACAGAGGCCAAAGTTCTGCCAGGACTGATGCTTCAAAAATAGTTTTGGTACTTAATCCAAACTGCATACAATTTATGTATATATTAACATCCTTTTATGAGTGTTTCTTTTGTAGTCCTAGAGATATGATTATATGCCAATTTTTATTTCTCCAGTTTTTTTTAATCTTTTGAGCAAAGATCCCTTAAAGTTGAACACGGACCATATGCATCTGAAGATACCACCACAATATCCTCTTCTAATGCTCTTGATCTTTGGCCACAAAACCTTTGCATTGGAATACCTGACATCCCTTAGAAAAATCATGGAAACAAATGCCCTCACAATTTTCTCCAGCCTCTATTTTTTTTCCAGCCTTCTCCCCATTTCACATTATTTTATTTTTTATTTTTTTTTAGTATTGTGTGATATATCTTTTTCTTCTCCTAGTAAGTAAATTTCTTAACTGCTGGTATATTACTATAAGATTTGAGTAACATTAAATACTTTGTTTTAATAAGAAACTTGGTCAGCAGAGTAGACTCATCATTTGGACTTTTCCTTAGTGAAATAACTGAAATAAAGGTCAAATTGTTCAGAGCCTCATTTTAGGCATTATTACTTTAAATAAGTGTTCCCAAGTTAATCTGAAAAATCATTGGTCTGTTCTTCTGCAGCTCCCTTCCAACAATTATTTTCCAGCCCTATTGTATAGCAGTAACAGGGATTACTGTAGTGCAGACTGGGAATGTTTTATTATTACTGGGTATCCTCAATACCAGCTTTCAAAGACATCCAGAGAGCTCTACCATTACATGCTGTGCCACTTGAATCTCTTGACTCTTAGGAACAGGGAGAGAGATGTAGTTCTAATACCCAATTCTAAATTTGCTCTTTACCTCCATATAAGCCGCTTAACCCAAAATCTGTGTTTTCAGTCTCTATAGTCATAACAAAGAGACTTACGTTTTGATGGTTTTGAAATACTATATGGTCTGTATGAGTGATAAAAAAAAATTTCCTCTTAATTTTCTAGTATGAATTTACCTATCATAGCTAAGCTGCAAGTATATTGAGAGATTTTAGGGGAGCCATTTATAGATAAAGCTGAGCCATGCCCCTTGGACTTTTAAGAGATCGAGAGAATTGATAGACCCCTTAACTTTTGTTCCACAGAATCATCCTGATGTCGCAAACAAATTGGCTACTTGTCCCTTCAATGCTCGCCATCAGGTTCCTCGGACCGAAATCAGTCATCATATTTCAAGCTGTGATGACAAGAGTTGTATAGAGCAAGACATTGGTAAGACTGACTAGCTGAAATGTTTTTGTACTAGAGGTTAGCCCCTTTAAATTTGTGTTATGCTACATTGTCACCTTGATTTTTGGCTTTCCATGTTGAAGAATACTTTCCGTAGGAAAAGGATGTCAGGTTGTGTTTGTCTGAATGCTTTCTCTTCTAAACAACCTGATTCACTTTACCAATAATTCATCTAACTAAAAAAATGCTTTTACCACAGATATAAATATCTTTGTGTTTTTTTTTTTCATGTCCTCTCTCAGCAAGGGAATAAGACCACTCTGTATATCTCTGAGAACCAAAGACTCGTTGGGCTACCCTGCAACATATTTGGCCACTAATCCCTTTAAACATAAGTGAGCAATGTCCCGTTCTCATGTCAAAATCTCTATTGTCTTTCAGTCAACCAAACCCGGAACCTTGGACAAGAGACTCTGGTTGAGAGCACATGGCAGTGCCCTCCTTGTGATGAAGACTGGGACAAAGGTAAGTGCTTCTGCATCTTTTTCTGCACAATATCTAAATCTCAAGTCATTTGCTTTAGACAGAAGGAAGATTTTCCGTTTTTATGAACATGCCATGTTGTTCGAAATGCTTTGTTATTTTTATTGGGCCCCAAAACGAGCACATTTGTATGGCTGTGCAGACATGTGAAACAGCCTCTCCCTTCTTGTTTGGAAAAAGCACTTCTTTACATCTGTTTTTTTCCATAAATTGTGCTATGCCATCTGTGCTTGGCTGTTACTAGGCACGTTTATTATTATTTATGTCGTTTGTGTTTATATTCTTCAATTAAATTCCTGCTACTGTGTCACTTAGGCAAGGTGCTTGATCAATTTTTACTTCCTTCTCTAAACTTAGGTGTATTATAAGTTATTACAAGTTAAACTAGCATAAACTGGTGTCTTATACCACAAACTATGTTTTGCTTCCTTTGGCAGATTTGTGGGAACAGACCAGCACCCCATTTGTCTGGGGCACAGCCAACTACTGTGGCAAGAACAGGTAAGTGAAATTGTCTCATTCCCAGCACTGTCTCCCCAGATCAGAGCGCTTTGTTACCAAGAACAGCCACCAAAGCATGGATTGATCTCTTTCCTTGATGGAGTTACTTGGTAGTAACTTAGTCTAGATATTGTTTTTGGTGGATTATTTTTCTTATTTCTTCCTTGATTCATAAAAAGGTTACTTGCTTTGTGTTAATCACTGTGGGAACACAGAAATACTAGTTTATAGTCTAGCAAAGGAGACGGTGGTGCCAGATATTATGTCTTAGTTGAGTTTTTTACTAGGTTCATATTATTTTAATGCTTTAAAAAAAAAATCCCCGGCTATACTACGTGGATCATTTTTACTTTTGCTAACTAGTGTTTAAGGAAAAAGTAATCTTAACAGTTGTTTGTTTAAGAGTGGAGAATCCAAAACACCTGTTTGGTAGGGGGGAAAAATGCATCTCTTCTTCCCACTAATTTTGCATATAATTTTGAAATCTATAAAATTTCTCATTATTATTTTATCTTTAACCCTTAGAAGATCACATTTCAAATACAAATGAGAATATTTATAGATTAGAAAATAAAGAAATGAAATGCTAGACTTTATTTCCCCCCCAAATTGAATACTTAATCCATTTTTATTCTTGGCTCCTGAAGTCAGCTAGTAATTGTAAGTTTACCTTACTTTGTGTGTTCACTACGATAGAAAAACTTAAAAATGAATTTCAATTAATTTTTTCTCGGTTCTTTGATATTTGTTGCCCTTGGTATGATTGTCTTGGCATTTTATTTTATCTCATGTTTATTGAATGAGTTGATGTGTTTGTTCTACAACTGAACAGTAGATGGCATTACTGTTTATCTCAATTTCTAAGAAATGAAAATACTGAGACCCATCTTAATGCCTGTACAGAACAGTGAGCTTTCCAGAGAAATGGTAATCATTCTAATTGCAAGAATGTTTTGATGGAAATGTGTTTACATTTTATAATGTAGGCTGTTTTGTTTTCCCCCAAAATACAAAAAAAAAAAAAAAATGGTGAAACCGGTTTGGCTCAGTGGTAAAGCGTCGGTCTGCGGACTGAAAGGTCCGAGGTTCGATTCCGGTCAGGGCCGTGTACGTTGGTTGCAGGCACATCCCTGATAGGGGGCTTGCAGGAGGCAGCTGGTTGATGTTTCTCTCTCATCGACATTTCTAGCTCTCTATCTCTCTCCCTTCCTCTCTGTAAAAAATCAATAAAATATATATTAAAAAAAACAAAAACACCACATTTTGATTGTCTTGTGTGTGCTTGCTTGAGGAATACAGATATGCTGGCATAGTCAGATTTGTCTTTCTTTTTGCAGCCCTGCAAGCAACATAGTTATGGAACATAAGAGTAACCTGGCTTCAGGCATGCGCGTTCCCAAGTCTCTGCCGTATGTTCTGCCATGGAAAAACAGTAAGTGTAATGAGACAGGATACTTTTATTCTTTTCTTTGTTCTAATAAATATAGTTAGTCTTGATATTCAAAGACATGTTTAGTCAGTATACCTTGCACTCCCATAACCCTGAGAATGAGCACCTCCTTAAATTTTGCACTCTAAGGGCCTCACTCTGTTCATCCTAGTCCTGGTTCTTGTTAGTACTAGGAAAGTACAAGATCACAGAAACCAAAAGAATATTTTAAAGATAGGGTGACCACTGACATTAAATACCACGGGTAAATTTGGGGAGCAATAAAAAGACTATTGCCCAGCCTGGCTACTGTGGCGCTGTGGTTGAGTGTCAACCCAAGCACCAATTCCTGGTCAGGACCCATGCCCAGGTTGTAGGCTCAGTCCCCAGCAGGGGGTGTGCAAGAAGCAGCTGATCAATATTGATGTTTCTCATCAGTGTTTCTCTCCTTCTCCCTTTCTCTCTCTCTAAAATCAATAAAAACGTTTTAAAAAATAAAATAAGAACATATTTTTTAAAAGACTATTGCCCTGACCAGTGTGACAGTGGTTAGAGTGTCAGCCCAAGCACTAAAGGGTTTGCAAGTTCAATTCCTAGTCAAAAGCATGTACCTGGGTTGCAGGTTCAATCCCTGATTGTGATTGGAGTGCATGTAGAAGGTTACCAGATGATATCTCACTTCGATGTGAGGTGTTTTTTTTGTTGTTGTTCTCTCTCTCCCTCCCATCCTCCCTCTTCCTCCCCACATCTCTTCCCCCTCACTTCCTCTCTTCCACTCTCTCAAAAAATCAATGGAAAGCCGAAACCAGTTTGGCTCAGTAGATAGAGCATTGGCCTGCGGACTGAAAGGTCCCAGGTTCGATGTACCTTGGTTGCGGGCACATCCCCAGTAGGAGGGGGTGTGCAAGAGGCAGCTGATTGATGATTCTTTCTCATCAATGTTTCTGACTCTCTATCCCTCTCTCTTCCTCTCTGTGAAAAACCAATAAAATGTATTTTTTTTTAAATCAATGGAAAAATATTTTCAGGTAAGGATTAATAACAATAACAAAAAGACTATTGATTTTAGTTAGGAGGAAGTCATCCCTGACTTTCAAGACATAAGATCAATAGGGAATTGGGATTAGAAATTGGATTTCAGGGACCTAAAAGGAAATGTGTAGAGAGAACATGAAAGTTATGAGTCATAAGAATCAGCATAAAAATAGTATTTAAATGTCCTTCCTAGACATCAGAGGCCATGCTGAGCAAACATACTAAATTTGTATCATACCACCCTGGTAAAGAAATTCCCACATGTGGAACACCCAAGATGACCATCATATTTAATATGCACTTTATTTTTCTAATGTTGCCTCCCAATTCAGATTCCCTTGGTTTCAGTCTCTGCTACAGTTTGAGTTAATTTTCAGGTGGCTAGAGGATTTCCTTTAAAAAAAATTTCCTTTGGATACTTGCCCAACAAATGAGATCACTAAATCATATGTCAGAAGGCTTGATAGGTAAAGAACTGCCTTCTTTTTTCATGATCTTGAGTAGAATGCAATCACTGATTTTAAATTCTTCTACTTTTTTTTTTTTTTTAAGCAATCTTTATTGTTCATATTATTACAAAGGTTCCTCATTTCTTCCCCCCTCCACCAGGTTCCCACCCCACCCTCCGTCCCCCCCCATCCCCCATTGTCCTCATCCATAGGTGCAGTTTATGTTCAGTCTCTTCTTCCCTCAATTTCCCCAATAGTAAATCCCTTTTCAGATAGTAAATCAGTTACTTAGCATTTTCTCATATCAATAATACCTCCACATGCCCAATGATACACTTCACACAAAAGACATTTCCCAATAGGTCCACTAGCCTCATCCAGGCCCCACCCAAGGCACTCACAGATCAACACCCCAGTCCTAAACTAACTCAACACATCCAGTTCTAAGCCTTCATCACTTGATTCAGCAGACACTCAAGTTCCCACGAAAGTTTCCAGCCATGTCTGAGAGGCAGCCGTGGGGTAGGGGCAGGCGAGGAGCGAGCTGTTCCGGGCCTGGCTGCTCAGGGCCTGGCCTCTGTTGCTCTGGTTCATTCCACAACCAGCTGCTCCGGGTCTGGTCACTGCCGCTCTCAACCTAGTTGCTCTGGACTTGGCTGCTGCTGCTCCAGACCTGGCCGCTCCCAGCCTGGCAGCCGCTGCTCCGGGCCTGGCCGCACCCAACCCGCCTGCTCCCCCGGGCCTGGCCGCTCCCAGCCTGGCAGCCGCTGCTCCGGGCCTGGCCGCACCAGCCCCGCCTGCTCCCCCGGGCCTGGCCGCTCCCAGCCTGGCAGCCGCTGCTCCGGGCCTGGCCGCACCCGACCCGCCTGCTCCCCCGGGCCTGGCCGCTCCCAGCCTGGCAGCCGCTGCTCCGGGCCTGGCCGCACCAGCCCCGCCTGCTCCCCCGGGCCTGGCCGCTCCCAGCCTGGCAGCCGCTGCTCCCGGCCTGGCCGCACCCGACCCGCCTGCTCCCCCGGGCCTGGCCGCTCCCTGCCTGGCAGCCGCTGCTAAATTCTTCTACTTTTAACCCTGAACGGTGTGGCTTAGTTGGAGTGTCTTCCCATGCACCAAAAGGTCTTGGGTTTGATTTATGTGCCCTGATCAGAATTGAACTTGCAAACCCTTTAGTGCTTGGGCTGACACTTGGGCTGACATGTTCAATCCCCAGTACAAACGTATATTGGAGGCAACCAATTGATATATCTCTCTTCCTCTCCTCCCACTCCCTTTTCCTTCTCCTTCTCCCCCTCCTCCTGTTTACTCCCATCCCCCTCTTCCTCTCTCCCTCCCTCTCTCTCTCTCTCTCATCAATAAAAACACATGACCTTGAGTGAGAGCTTAAAAATAATGAGTGAATGAATGCATTCTTCTACTTTTATATTGCGATTCAATATACCCGAATAAATTGTTTGTGTTTAGTTAAGAGTAGAGGATGGAGTGAATTTCAGTTGACATGATGTTATTTATTTTGAAATATTTCTACTCTGTAGATGGAAATGCACAGTAACTGAATATCTCATCAAGTAAGTGTTTCAGTTTTATTTCACTATCTTTTCAGATGGTAGCAAGATTTAACTGGACATAAAGCAATTTGGGTCCAATTTTCTTTCAGATTATGGCACCAAATTAAAGCTTTGTGTGTCCCTATATTTTTAAGTATATAGCTTCTGTTATGGCTTTACACGCTAATGAATAGGCATTTACTGATTAAATTAGAATTCAGTTAACACGCCAAGTTGCTTTCCCTAGAGTTACTACACATTGCCTTTTTCTTATTTTCTTTTTTTCTTTTTTTATCAGTGTTGCATTCTAGATCTATCACACCTCTTTAATGGGCTGAGATTAATCAGACAGCTGTGCTTCACTGCTCTGCAGTTCTTTCCCTGTGCAGTACACTTTAACACATCAAAATATTCATACTCTTTTTAATGAGCTCTTAAAAGTTTTGGATTTCTAAGAGTCTTGAGTCTTGCACTGTTGATCTTATCTGAATATTTGATTTAGTAGAACTTCACAAAATCTATATGATAGCAAAAAGCTTACTTTTCACATATGAAGTCTTTCCTCAAGGTTACCCTATTACCCATAACGGAGCCAAGTTTGGTGCTTCAAATGCTGTCCTGGCTGCATTTGCCCCTGGCAAAGGAATATTTAAAAAGGCTAGGGGTAGGAGTATATCCCCCACTGTTTTGAGCTAGTAAGTCCTCAGTGAATATTTAGTGAATGAATGATTGACCTCTTACCTTCGAGTTCATTTACTTCCTCTGGAGAGTGAATCAATTGTATCCTCTGTGAGTTAGGGCTCATTTTATACCAAAGCAGATGTTTCTTCTGATGAAAAGTAAAAAAGAGATTCTAAAAGTAAACACTCCTTAGCTATGGACCATAACTATCAGTTGCTTCCAGTATCAGCCATTTTTTTTGATAGGTTCTGACATTAAATTGTTAAATACATCAGGAAAGCATAAAATTATACCTGACCCCCAAAGGAAAAGAGAGACAATAGCACTGGGGTGTGCCAGGAAAGTGCAAACAGATCTGGATAAATAATGAACTTTGAATCTTTCTCTTACACACTGTACAAAATACTTGGTGCTCTAGTATGGATACTAGTTACCTAGTAAAAATGGCTACTCTTAAGGCAAAAGCCTAAGAGAAACTCCTTTCTCTTTAACTTAAGAAAAGACACACTTCTCATTTGGAATTAAATTTATTTTTCTGTGTAACCCCTGAGGAACCAAGAAAAAAAAATTATCCTGTGTTAGTTAAGACTCTTTAATAGCAACAGACCTTCTTATAGTTTTTTGAATGCCTGTTGTTGCAAAATTCTCTAGCTTCTTTGGAAGGATACAAAAGAAATAGAAGACATGACTTATTCCCTGAAGGACTTAATTTTGTATAGAAAGTTTTTTTTGAATGCACAGAGGTGAAAAGGATTTGTTTACCTTGTAGTCTATGCTTTAGCCCATTTGTGTGTTTATCAACCACTCCATTTTTTAATAGGTGCCTCAAAAACAAGTAATATTAATTTTTGTTCACCTAATGTACATTGTAATAGCTCAGAAAATATTGGTAAATTAATGTGTAGTAGAGTGAAAAGAAAAAAAAATCAATATAAGTTAATTAGAATTAATCCAGAATTGTCTGCCAGAGTCAATTGGCTAGATAGTCAATTCTGATTTCCTCATCAGTCAAAAAACTGTTGACACAGGAGTGTACATTGATCTCTGTATAGAATACTTTTAATTCAATTAACAAGTTTCTATCTGCTTAATGGTACTAAAGAGCTCAGGGTCAGAAGGTACTTGGTGCTCTGCCATTAACAATAGCAGATTCCTCCAGCAACCAAGAGATTTTAATTGTGTTTTAATTGTATTGTCATATGTAGTTGTTACCTTTGTCATTGAAAGGAACTAAAATTTTTTTTCTCATTTCCTTACAGATGACTGAACCTAGAAGACTCTTGCTTCTTCCTGCTATCAGTGGGTTCTTCATTTTTTTTCTAATCTAATTATAGAAAGATAAACTGTCTGTGACTTTCAAACTGACAGATGCCTTTTTTTCCCCCCTCCTCCCTTTTGAGTCATTTGATGCAAGAAAAACTGCATACTTTTAAAACTACTTCAAATAAACCATTGATGTAGATAGCTTGATAGTTTGGTCAAGTATCTGAGCTCCAAGATCAGAATGCACATCCCATTCCACATTAATGAAGCATAATTATTTAAAGAATCTTAAAGAAGCCCGGAAACACAGGCAAGAAACTTGGGTTGAAAAAAGTAACTGAATATTTGTATTCTCTGACATACATGGACCAAATTCTTTTTCCCATTAGTATGAATGGCCCCATTTGATCAGTGCATCTCTTTATCCAGGGTCACCAAGATAGCAATAGCATTTATAGGGCAAAATATCCCATTCTTGTTAGAAACTTGAGGATATTGTGCTGTCTAAATATTTCCAACCTAGGATAGGTTTCATGTATCTATCTCTCCTACATTCCAGTTAGATGTTGTACTAGTTGTCAAACTAGATTTAGATTATATAGGAGTGGAGATTAGAATGGAGGGGAGGAACAAGTGTACTTGTGGAGAAGAGAGGCTTTCCACCTGTGTGTGAAATTTAAGTTTCCAAGTTGAAACGTGTGAGGGCTCTGCTGACAACCCTGGGATGTGTGTGTAATAAGTTAGATTTTAAAACATCCAAAGGTCTGGCTATCTTAGGATCTTGTTGGCCCTTACAAGGAGACTTCATAATCTCCCCAGAGATTGTTGGGATTGTTTTTGTGTGGTTTTCAAGTTTGACTTGGTTTGGTTTTAAAACTGTCTGGCATGGGAGGGGTTTGTGATCTGGTATAGATAGGAACTTGGATGGAGCATACTGACAATTCCAAAAGTGATCTCTCAGCAGAGTAACAGATAAGGGGAAGTAGGCCTTCTTCCACCAGTTTTACTCAAGATTCTTCCCTGATGAAGCAGAGCTGTGTCTTTAGTTCCAAACTCTAAAAACCGGTTCAAGATAAGCCCCAGTACATTAGTAGCTCTGCTTAGCTGAGTGATCTTAAGTGAATAACTAGGCCATTTCTTCTGGAGAGGGTAGAGGAGGGGGGAAAACACCCTTCATGCCCCTAATTCTGGTCACTTATGTTGTGTATCAATACTTCACAAACACTTTATCTAAAAATAGCCTTATTACCGGAAAATGCAAAACCCTTTTGATTTCATTTGTTTGGATGATGACAGAACAAAACTACACTTGTAACTCAGAACTCCTACCTAGTTTAAGAGAAACAAACGGATATGAGTCTCATTGCAAAGAATTAAACAGAAAATAATTACTTTGTGTTTTTATTTAATATCTAAAGAGGTGATAGACTAACATCTAACATTTATGAAAAGCAAATGAAAACTCTGATTTCGTTATTTTAGGAAAACAGCTCTTTGCTCATGATTACTAGAATTTAATCACAATACATCTAACCCTTTGGAGTGTAACACTCACAAAGGAGGATGACTGGCTGCCTATGTTATTAGCTCACAAATAGACAATCCTGTTGTTTCTTTGGTAAACTAATGATTAAAGCAACCAATTTGTCTGATCTAGGAGCTTTCAGAGACTGCTTGGGGTTTTTATTGGGCCTAGGACTCACTAGTCTGGTCTTTGTTTCCTAGAGATTTTTAGAGATTCTCAAACACTAGAACAAAAGTGACTATTTACTACTTCTGTCAGATATTGGGAGGAGTTTACTTTAAGACTCTCTTTTGGGGATGATACCCTCCCTTCGGAATGTGAACAGTGGAAGATAAAGAATTGAATACTCTACCTTGCTGAAACCGGTTTGGCTCAGTGGTAGAGCGTCGGTCTGCGGACTGAAGGGTCCCGGGTTCGATTCTGGTCAGGGGCATGTACGTTGGTTGCGGGCACATCCCCAGTAGGGGATGTGCAAGAGGCAGCTGGTCGATGTTTCTCTCTCATCGACGTTTCTAGCTCTCTATCTCTCTCCCTTCCTCTCTGTAAAAAATCAATAAAATATATTTAAAAAAAAAAAAAAAAAGAATTGAATACTCTACCTTAATTTCAGTTACACTCAGGTGTTCTGGTTAAATAGAGGTGTTTCAAAACCTTAGTTCAGAGCCTCTGAGTCCTACATTTTGATCTGATGTAGGGCTTCCAGATTCTACCCCAAAGAGAGGATTTCCTTTTTGAGAAATTGCCTTTCTCTGTAGGGGTTCTAGAAGTACCTTTGTGATTTGCAGATGTTATTACTAGGAATAAACAAATGTAAGTAATGAAGGACCTTTAGCTCTCCGGTAGCTGTACCTGAGCTAAACAAGGAAAATATGCAGGTTTAATTCCAAATAATGCACCGCAGTTTTCTTTGATTGGTGAGGGAGAACAGTAGCTGCTTGTGTTAGTCTCTTAGACAAAATTTGTGTACCTATATTGGCATTCTTAGACGCCTTTACTTGTGCTTTTCACAATTCACGTGAAGCTCAAAAGTAGGCAGAAACCAAGGAAATAACATTATACTTATTATTACCTTTTTTAAAGATGCAGGATATAAAAATCAAGTTCATTTGTATACTATCATTTAAATGATCAAAGCAGGACTGGCCTTACAAAGAAGAGACCTCTGAGAAAACATTCATTTATTGTATCAGTACAATGGGTAGAATAAGGAAAACTTCCTAAATTCCTGAAGTAACAGCTCATTCCTTTGATCACTATCTTCCTGATACTGTTAAGCTTTGGAACATAATTGTATCCTACTTTACAGTCATGGCCTTGTCAGAGGCCACTGAAGACATTAACCTGTTATCTCCTATCAACAGTCTCAGCCAGTTTTGTTCCAGCTATAGCAGTCTGAGGAATGCACACCTGTGTGTGAACAGGGGATTTCCCATATACATGGCCATTCTACTGCCTGGTGCAGCTCAGTTTTATAAATTTGGTATCTGGTGAGACATATAAAATCTAAGATTGCATATAAATAGGAAGAACAGCATC